ATTATAAACTGTACTGGGTCCGACTATACGTACGTAGAGAGTAATAAAAAATAACGATAAAATTGTTGTTCGTTTCGATCTCCCGGAAGTTCAGTATAAACAGAACCGAGGCACAGACACACCCCTATGAATGAGCACTATTACTACAATTGTACACAATCGAGAGCCGGCACATGAGTTTAAGTTTCACTCATGACTCACGATCAGACGTGCTATAACAATGCGCACGAATTGTACAAGATTAAAATATAGTTGCGTTATACACACGCAGAAACATTCGTCGCGCGATACACTGCCACGAGCACTAGCGAAACGAATGTTTATTTTAGTCAGAACTTGGGCTTGGACTCTATCTCGCTTTAGATTCCGCAGCAACGAGTGCGCGAATAATAACCACGTATGTTGACCATTTGCACCTAAAAAAAAGTTAGGGGTTAGGTTAGGGTAGTTGGGCACAGCTTATTTACGCCAAATTTAACTGAGTAAATATTTTACGATAACGACTCGTTTTAATTCATATATTTTAAAGAGGTCTATAACGTATGATAAAGTTATTTTCATAACTACTATAGTTATGTGTGCTTGTACGACAGCGAATTTTTATCGTGCGAGTACGTATTATGTATAACAATGGTATTATATACGCGATAGGCGCCGGTCGGACGATAAGTATAAAAAATATTATGTCCGAATATGAAGAAGGTTTTGGGAGTCAAGTTCCTTCAAGAAGATAAACATCTCCAAAGGCGTTTTGTCACTTTTACTTTTTTTTACGTTCATATTGAATTTAATAATTCACTAATATTTTAATCTGTTGATAGTTATGTTAAACACATATACCGATAAACCATAAGAATTGTTAACTTGTAGATTATCGTGAATAATTGTATTTCTTATAAATACGAAATCATATAATTCAGGTCTAAAACAATGTACATACATTTTCATCTGTAGCAAGGCATTTTATAAGTGTTTGAAAATTGTATTGTGTTGCTCTTAAGAAGTATAAATCGATAATATTTAAATATTATGTGTGCCGTGTGCGTAACATACGTAGTGTATTTTATATATTATTAATTGTTTCAGGTACACCTGTTATTTATATTTGAAATAGTACACGTGTAAAAACTTTTAGTTATTTCTATAGCTTAGAATTGTGTTTGATTAAAAAGTAATAATTGAAATCGAATGTGGTGAGGAAAAATGATTTGCGTGTGTAGTACTTCTGCAAACATTTCGTGAAGTAGTCAAGACTATAGTTCCCTCGCCCTTCAAATTCGGAATAATAATTACAGTTAATAGCAATGAGTAAGCTATCAATGAGGTCGCAACCCATCGAAAAAGACAAGAACGACTATCATACGTCTTCAATTGAATTTTAAAACGAAGTATACACGTGCTATGTTTTAATGTTTGTTTTACTATAAAAATTGTTTTTTTGTGTTGCTTCCGGCGCACGATAAAAAATAACTATTAAAACTAATGGTTTTTATTTTTATTTTTAATATACTCAACGCGTATTTATTGATTTTCATCTATTCTGAACTTCAAAATAGATCAACCGAACAAAAACGTACACCATATATCAGAGGTTCCCAATCAGGGTGCCGCAAAAATATTTGAAATATCTATTTATTTTTAAACGCCTTCATGAAAAATACTGTGAGTAATAAAACAGACTATACTCTATGTCTATAGTATAAAACCTATTGTGTATAATTGATTAAGTATATACAATATAATTTAATGAATTAATTATTAACACATATAATTTTTACATAGTAATACTGAAATGTTCAATCTATTTTAATTTTCATATTGGTTCGATTACTATCGATTTGATGTGAATTGTTTTTAAGTTATTTACGGTGAAATACTTGTGACTTTATCTTATCTTTATTGTTTATTAATGCTAAATAAAACCGAAGTTACAAAATATAAATTTAAATATACGATATATTAGTATTGCGTATTCAGTATAAACTATAGAGTATAGGGCATAGGCTATAGGGTACCTCCAAATTTTTAGAAAATAATAAAGGGTGCCGTGAGTCAAAAAAGGTTGGGAACCTCTGCCATATATGAACGATTATTAATGAAATTGAAAGGCTCAATATGGCAATCACGTCCGCTTAGGTGTAACGATTTTGACTAACCAATAAAATAATGTCAATAATAAAATACCGTTCAAATTGAAAGCCAAATTCAATTAACTCTTTATGTAGTTCTATATTCTATGTAATATGTATGTGTAATTGAATTATAATATTTTCTAAGGTTTACCGAAAATAACGTCATCAAAGGTTAGTTTTATAAAATTTAAGCTAGAATTTAATTAAAATATTTATGAGGTAAATATGGATATAAATTATTAAGATGTTGACAGTAGACGAGTGTCGGTTAAATTTAAAAAAATATTGACGAAAATGTTTCGGTGTTAATATTTATCACAGTCCTTATAAATGTGGTAAATTTTTAATCTTTTTAATTCCGTCACTAATAACGGAAACAATTTCGTCTGATATCAATAACTCGTCAGGAAGTTGATTTAGTTTCATATTCATTTTAAGTACACATATTATAGGGCGTAACACGATTGCGCACTTTCTACCTTTTTACCCGAAAAAAACCACACCATTGCACACTTTTTACCTTTTTTATATGTATAGTAATTTTTATATATTATATAGCAAACAATAACACGATTCCGCACAAAATTATATGTGTATATATAACTATGTATATTGTATTATAATTTATGTAAAACATAAAATAATGTATGCATGTATAATTATTAATTAGTTGGAAATTGTTTTTTTTTCTAAATTACATAATATATATTATCTTAAAATTAATTATCATATAATACATATAAAATAATACATTATTTTAGGTTGTACATAAATTATTGTACAATATACATAGTTATATATACACATATCATTTTGTGCGCAATCGTGTTGTTGTTTGCTATATAATATATAAAAAGGTAAAAAGTGTGCAATGGTGTTGTTTTTTTCAGGTAAAAAGGTAGAAAGTGCGCAATCGTGTTGCACCGATATTATACGCTGTTATAAGCTTATATGTAAACATAAGTATATTATTAGTGTTTACGTTCTTTCAATATCCATCACGAATATAAACTTTTATAATCATGAACTAACAACGATTAGATAAACAAAAAATGTGTCATGAGCGATCCTCGAAAAGTGTGAAAAAGATAGATACGAACTTGAAATATAGATTTTTAATGTAGAATTCGAAGTAAATATTCTTCGTTTAAAACACGTGCTTTCATATTATTTGAAGGGATACCATTGAAAATGTTTAAGAATTATATTTGTTCGAAGAGAGAACGCATTCATTATGCCACCGTTCTATCGTTGTCTAGCCGAGTCATTCGATGAGCAGTTATGTAACGGTAGGCGAGGTTCGGTATATGGCAGCGGCCGGCGGTGACCAGACAGTAACATGTGACCACCCAAACTTTCCTCTCTGTGTCGTTTCGAGTCGCCGCACCCCAGATACCGAACCGATATCGTAAACACGGAAAATTTAATATTTCTAATAACTATTTAATTAAATAATATCTGAAGTTCTAAAGCTATATTATAACTGTCATAAAAATCGCCTCTACTTTTAACATTATAATAGATATCGTGTGTCACACCAAAAATTTAACGCTTGAAAATGTCGACTGCCCAAATGGAAAAATCTGAATGCCGTACAAAGATGTTTTCACTATACCATATTTTTTTTCAAGTAACATAGTCTTTAAAGCAGTATAAGTTTTCGATAAATTCCAATATGGATATTAATCATACGAATAATGCTTAAGATATAATATGGGTCACTATTTGATTCCTTATTTATTTTAATACTAGTTTTATCAAAAACCAAACCAAGATCAATTTTTAGAACCCTCAATTCTTTGTTTTGATACGCATTTAAATATTTAATTACTTTTATATGTTTTATTTCCAATACAATAAAATTTGCAATCCGTACAACACTAGAAATATGCACTGGCTACATTAACTAATGCTATGATGTAGCAATAACCTCGAATATGAAAGATGAGAATAATAAATTTGTGTCGTCGACAATTTGAGTTATCTAGATACATTAATATTAAAATACGTTTGAAGGGACCTAAAATGTAATTCGAGTTGCTGAGACTAGACTGTATCATATATATAACATTATGCACAATGTAGAATGCATTTAATATTTGATTATTGGTATACGTTTTCTTTGAATGTTATTAAGGAATAATAACATCATCATGATAATGCTATGTCTTAATTTTGTTAGTAATTAATATTTTAATAATTTATAATATCAAAAAAAAGTTAAAGTGTAACTGTGTAGAAAGTGTAATTAATGATTTAAATTAAGTATAGGCACTACAACTATATTATAGTATAATCATGATAAAAGTTATAACATAAGTAAATTACTAAAAAAAAAATAATTTTTATATTAAAATATCAAATAGAATTAATTAAAACAATGTTTGTGTACAGTCACACAAAATCATAAACAAACTAATTATATTATTTTTATTTATCATTGTTTACCCATTTATAAATATTTAACTTTTCTGAAAACATCACTGATGTTTATTTAAATGTATTATTGAACCCGTATCTTTATTTTAATCAAGTACCTTTCAAAGACCCAAGTAAACTCAGTGTTTTGCATAACATAATAATAATATAACATTATAATATATAACATAATAAAATGATTCAATTACATTTAGCAGTGTAAAAATTATAATAGCTTTTACTTATATTCAACAATATTGAGTGTAAAATATATTCTGTTTTGTGAGTTTAATTGCTATTTTGTATTAATACATTATTAACAGTATTGTATTATTCAATTTAACAATAACCGTATTTGCATTTACGAGTATGTAACAAATTAAAATATGTGCGATCAACAAGAATTCATATTATATATTTTATTAATGTATCGATTAATTTATTTTCCAGGAGAATATTCTATTCTATATCTTTTCGTCAGATACAAGTTTGGATGGAACGAAATAGATTATAGTCTGTACGCTGCATACAAAATGACTGGAATACTTATAGGTAACATTAATATTGATCATGCTTAAATAATAATAATAAATAAGTTTACATTTAGATAAAGTGACGAGTATACGAATAGGCAGATGATAAAATTTACTTTTCGAATGTCCAAAAAAAGCACAATTTATCGCTATTTATTGAATCCTAAAGTCAAAATAAAGCGCATAATATGAACGGATGAACCGCGTTGTAGAGTTGTATATATACCGATTCAGTCAATAAAATCGTTTCAGGGTTAAAAACAATATTTGTTTATGTGGGGATGATATATACACAGTTATATATACGAGTATATACCTACACACACACACGCGCGCGCGCGCCATTGTGTATGTTCTGACTGAATGTATCATTTCTCGAAAAATAAATTTTAACCAAAAATATAAAAGGCAAGTATCGCGGTAACTGCACCAGCCATGATGCCATACTCATTAAAAGGGTAGTAACTATTTGAAAATATCCTATTACACGTAGTTACAACAACAATGCGTTTATTTTAATTAAATTATAATTACCATTTGACGTGTTACGTATTTCAGCCGAGGTTCAAGTGTATGTAAATATTACTAACTAGCTGCAGATTTCACTTTGTTAATACGAGACAGCAGTGCCCTGAAAATAAAATTATTGAATCGTTTTACCGGCATGTATCTTTATAATATTAATATAACACAATACTATAGAGGTGTGTGTGTGTGTATGCATATGGTTTTAAATTGAAAAACCAAACATGTTTTGGTTCGTTTGACTATGGATGAAATAATCATAGGTATACTATATACATTGCGTGTGAATGATTAAAGCCATAACCTACTTACTCGTATGTGATTCAGCAACAGTGCCAAATGCGTTATAAAAAATTTTACTTTTTTTTTTTTTTTTATTCTGTGATTCCTATCTTCGTAATATTCACAAAACGTGTTTAATCTATAAGAATATGTATACTACACGTGTTTAAATCTTGGCTAGTACGTGGAGTTAAAAGCGCGAAGACAATAATGTGTTAAATCTTATATCGTTCCACATATTACATCATACATTACACATCCGATTATTATATTATTATAAGCTATTCCCTCTTTTTTTTCTTTTTATCACGGCATTTTCTCCCTCTCTCTCTCTCTAAGCTGCTGCTGCTGCACACTCTGCGCACCCTTCAAGTGTGCGCTGAAATATTATTAAAATAGTCAGTACGTGCATAGTATTGCCCATGTTCATATATTTTATACGAAAGACTACACTCGTAGCGGTATTTATTATACTTGTAGACATTTTTATTCCGAGACGATGCATCGATTGTACTATTAAACAATAATAAAAGAATATGCGTGACGTGTGCAATTACAGGTACGATCCTGGCCATATGGTTGATGAGTGTAAAACTGAAAATGCACGATGCAGCGATCGGTTTCATTGGCAGCGGTTTCGATCTGATCGCAGCCGTATGTTACAGTTTTGTCACTCAACCATGGCAGCTATACGCGGGTTAGTATAATACGAGTACTTATAAACGTGAATACGACCAATCACAATAATAACAATCGTAAAGAAAAAAAATTAATTACGTTTGTTGGTGTTATTAAATAATTTCAGTGCCAGTAATAGATATTTTCCATGGTGCTGCGTTCACTGTTAGTACGTCGATGGCGTCTAAGCTCGTCGATAACAGCGAATTGGGTAAACTGTTTTCTATTATTATTATTATATTATTATGATTAAAAAGTATTCATTAAATTATACGAAAATAATAATAATTATCATTATTACTGTGTATCGATCAGTGTGATGATGATTTTATTGTAAAACTTGCATGACAAAAACTTAACTAGTATTCATATTATTATCAATTAAATAAACACAATCAAATGTTAACTGTTATGCAGTTCGAATATAAACTTTCCATTTCAAATACACACATAATGAGAGACTTTTTTTTTAAAACTATTAAAAAAAAATACCAGCATATAAAAAAAATTGTTTTAATGACCTTGCGTAAACAATTGGTACTTAATTATTTACCTATACATTTATCTGAGTTTTATTTTTGTATTTTGTGTTTAGCGCGAACATATAGTAATTGTTGTGGTTTTATCTAAGATAACGTTTTCATGCAAATATTATTAACTATTAATACTTATTATTCTTAATATTACAATAATAATGTATACATGCTATATCAGCGGTTCCCAATTGGTGGTCCGCGGACCCTCAGGGGTCCGCGTGTTGATTTTAAGGGGTCCACGGTTGTGTTGTTTTGTAGTGCTATTTTTATTTTATTTTAGTGAAACTATTATCTTTGTAGTAATATGATATTCCAAGTATTTTTGGACTATTGAAACCCGATTATCGCGAAAAAAAATTAGATAACCAATTTCATAGAAATAAATATCATTATTATCTTCAATATTACACTATTATTACTATAATTTAGAACTTGAAACCATACTGATTATTTTCTTTCCATTAACCAATAAATATATTTCGGACATATAATTTAAAGTAAATTATCAACATTAGTATTAGTTAGTAGTCTCAGTCATTACTGGTCAGCGATTAGTGCCGTGTGTCCTTTTTTTATACATTGTATTTCAAAATTAAACGAATAACCATAGTGTATCAATGGTTAAAATGCCTATCGGAACTCATGAAAACAACATTAGAGGAAGTAGTGAAAATTATAAACTTTATTAAATCACGACCTCTACAATCCAGGCTTTTTGAAGTCCTTTGCAAATACATGGGAAGTGATTACGTACAGCTTCTTTTGTACACTGAAATTTGATGGCTCTCACGTGGAAAAATTCTTCAGCGTTTTTTTTGAGCTAAGAGACGAAGTTCGAGTATTTCTTCTTGAAACCAGATTTGTAGGATTTTTAACTGATTTTTCTTGGCCGTCTCGGATAGCTTACTTGGCTGATGTGTTTGAATACTTGAATACACTAAATTTGAGTTTACAAGGAATTTATGTTGATATTTTTCACGTTGAGGATAAAATCGAAGCAACTATTAAAAAGGTTGAAATTTGGGCAAAACGTGTTGAAAAGAACTCTTTCAGTAACTTTCCGACATTACAAGCTTTTTTTGGAATCTTCGTGTGAATGTCTATCACAGGAGGTAAAGAGTAAAATATCTGAACACTTATTGAGCATGGCCAAAATATTAAGAAAATATTTTCATCAACCTGACCCAAATAATACATGGATAAGAAATCCATTTTCCTGTGATATTGAAAAAATAGAAAATCTCTCTGAACAGGAACAAGATGAATTAATTGATTTGGTAACAAATGGAACGATGAAAAATATTTTCAACGATAAAAAACTAATTGATTTTTGGTTAATTGTTTAAAATGATCAAAAGCAACTGGCTTTTTCAAGCATGCAGCTGGACTTAGACGAAATTATGAACAAAAAAGAAAAATTTCACTTGTCTCATAAAATTTGAAGGTGGTTAATCAAATAATTTTTTTTATAAATATATTATTATTTTTTTTTTTTTTTTGAAAAAATTTGTTTGTTACGAAAATGATTACAAAATTAAATCATATTGAAAATAAATCGTACCAATTTATTTCTCATTTTCATAATTAAATAAAATTGAAAAGTAAGTATTTACAAAAAAAGGGGTCCATGGACCAATTTAAGTTATAATTAGGGGTCCGTGGCTTCATACTAATTGGGAACCGCTGTGCTATATCATTATACTACTACAGAACAGTCGATATATTTAAATTACTTTAAATAAGCGTTCCGAAACAATAATGGCGTAATTTATTTATACCAACTATGTCCTCTGTTCGGCTGCAATATAGTAAGACCCATTATTTTTGGTTTAAATGTTTTATTTAAATTTATTAGTGATATATTTTAGGAATTATATTATTTTTCAATAAAAAAAATTCCATATCAGGAGATTATTATACATGAGTATATGGCACAAACGTGTTTGCGGAACTGCAAAGGTTATGAAGTTAGAAGTTACAACCCCCTACGGGCCATGTCGATGCATTTATATAAACATAATATACCCACATATCAATAACAGCACTTGTCAAGTTTATGCGGTTAATTCCTTAATCTGAAAATACATAATATTATCATAAAAAAAACAGAGATCTATAGTTTAATATAAATATAAAAATCCCAAGCACGTATTTTCTAAGTCCTGTCAACATTGCTAAAACTTTAGCGCTAAGCCTAGTATTCAAGTTGATTTCCGTAGTACGTATTATAAATTTTTTTCAATTATATATCTTGACATTTATTTGAATTTTAGTGAACTTCGTGTTTTTTATTCATGTATATTTATTTCGGTTAGAAACATAAAATATGTACTTCAAAAATTACGTATGTCACATTACATATTTTAGTAGAATTTCAACGTTTTATTTTTATTGAAAATCTCTTAAAATTCCATCATACACAGATTTTTAAAATTCATATTTTAATTCTTTAAAAATGGTAAAATTTGAAATACACGACCGCCATTAGTGTCTATTTCTTTATTAGGTAATTATTTTTTTTAATCTACTACAACGAGCGATGTACGTGAACATGTTGCTTAATAACATTCATTAAATGTGTTTATTAGTATTATGTTATTTTCATTTCAAGAAGTAAGTAGTAATTTGTAACTTTGAGATTCGTTACAACTGTGTTAAATTAATTAAAATTATAGTTCATGTTATTGAAATATTTATATATTGGTAAAACGTCCTATACCTCACATGAAAGCAAATCTGCTCCAACTTACGTTTAATTTTATCATATAAATATATGGTTTACACATATACTATTAAATATAATAATATAACTCAAGGTCTATTACAAAACATTAATTTATATATTGTTTTTTTTTTAATTTTTTAAAAAAAAATAGTAATCATTTATAAATACTACAACAGATATTTCGAAAAAAAAAAGTGCAAAAAACTATTTTCGAATGGTTCATAATTGTTTTAACTAATTTACTTATAATACAAACGATTTTTAGTTTCTTGATAAAATATTATGGTTTCTACGTTGAATGACATCAAACTTAATATACGAGTATCTAATTACAATTATAAATTAAAACCCAAGAAAATTAAATTAAAACAACATATAATTGTTTTATATTTATCTTTTTAGCGCAACTCAATTCAGTTCGAGGTATGCTAGAAACACTCGCTCCAATTATTATATATCCTTTATATAATCAATTATATACGCTCACGTATGAAACACTACCAGGAGCTTTTTTCCTGCTGAGTGCGGCTTTTACTGTTCCAGTTGTCATATTATTCGGGTAAATATAATTATATATATATATATATATATTAAACATAAAATGTTTAGATAAGAACAATGGTGAGATAGAAAAAGAAAATAATATTTTTTTACACACATATGTAGTTGGTTCATGACAATTTTTCCGGTCATGAACACAATACAATACTTCTATTTAATTGTATAATTGTAAGCATATAGTTTTCCATTGAAGCTCGATATAAAATAATGGAAAATTGTAGAAGTGCAAAACCTATTTGACTTTCTTCAAAATATATTTTTTCAGCGTTGATGCTGAAAATTACAATATATTTTCTTGCAATATATTACATGGAATCGAATGTTTATAAAATAAATTCAATAAATACCACGAATAGATCAAATATTCCAACATTTTATTAGAAAACATTCAGGACGATTTTTTTTTTTTTTTTTTTTAGTTAACTAAATTAAATTAAGAAAATATTCAAAATAAAAATGTTTTATTATAATTTTAAAATTGCTTGTCCACGTGCTAAATATTCCAAAATCTTTTTATAATTAAAATTATTTTGTCCCCCTCAATCGTTAACATATAATGTTATACTACATTAAGATTCTTATAATTATTAAACATTATTACTCATATTACAGACAAAATTTAATTTTTATCTATTATTATATTATTACTATTATATAAATATTTTACTTAAACTACTATTTACTAACTATAACATGTTGTAGAAAAGTGACATTTTGAAGTGCACAAAATGTTATTTTTAAGGAAAATACACTTTTTATTTTGACACTTGGATTTACAAACACATTTTAAAAATCCTTGGCCAATTTCTGTGGATTGAATTTATATCAACTCATTTTACTGTTCATCAGATAAAGAACTAGTATTAGTGGCCAAATTTTTAAAAAATTTTGTAGTTTATTATAAAAATTTGACTTCATATAAATCGTATGCATAGTTGCAATATCAAAACGAGACACAAAAAATGACGAGAAAAATTACGATATTGTAATAAAAATATTAGTACATTCAATATTATACCTCTGAATAATTATTATAGTAGTAAAATAATATTAATATTTATTGCACTAAATCGTGCACGCACATTTATGATGGACGATAACTAAAGTCGTTGGTAATAGGCGATGCTCAATTTCGTTTTTCATCATATTGCCTACTCCACGTTTGGCATTATACATAATACCTAGGCAAAGCTCGTATTATGTATATTGCTGAGTAATTTTTGGCATTTCATATAATGCCTAGACATTTTGCAAAATACCGGATTATCCATATTGCCGGTAACATATATAAGCAATAAGTTCGATAATAGTAACTTATGTACTTGATCGTTTTCAGAAAAAAAAAATCTTTTTAAAAAATCCACTCTGTATTGATTCAAATTTAAATGTGTATAAAAGTTAATTAGTGTATAAGTTATAAACATTATTATAATCTAGTAAAAATAGAAAAAAGTTGAAACTCGATTTCACCAATTATGATATCGAAAAAACGATACGGCTGTCCATAAATAGCATATATTATTAAAAAACTAAAAATATATATTTTATAAATCATTATATTATTGTTAGTAAATAATGTAATAATTTATTTGTGATTATTATTTCTTAATAAATCGTATATCATTTATGGGACACAACTACGAAGTTAACAAATATTTTATAATAGGCAATCATAATACATCATATATATTAAATATAATTTTATAATAATGACAACAATTGTGTTTTAATTGTAATTAATGTTAAGTTGCCTGTTGTAAAATTCTTGCTAGCTTAGTATTTCTCTTCTATACTGCTTAATATTATTGAATGTTCGGTAATGAAAATGAAGTATGCACGTGTACTAAATTGTATGCTATAATATCAAGTTTCTTTGATTAACTATCAATTTATCAACAAGTAGTTGTACAAACAAAGGAAATATATACGGTGCAATTATGGAAAATTGATTAGAAATCGTTTTGTTTGAATAATGAGCCAAAAATAAGTATTGAACATTTTATTGTTTGTGTAACTATTCAAAATTTAAATATTAATAAAAAATAATTGTTTTGTGCACAATAATTATAAATACAACTCACTTTTTAAATTCTATTTATAATCAAATTGTAATTTTTGAACTTTTATCATATTATAAGGATAACACTGCAAACTATAATATTAAGTTTTACATTTTCTCGAACGTTGCGCAACCGACAATAGTACCTATAAACTGTAGTGGGAATTCGCTTTCTGTAAAATTAAGTGGTTTTGGTACGAAATATGGGGACCTATAACAATTCATATGACGTAGGACCAGTTGACTTTTAATTTGATTTTGATTGTTATTGTTCTTGGCACCTGGTTAATGAATATTGAATTTATATGCGTGTATGTGTTTAGGGAGCTGTGAAGTGTTAACAAAACGTTTGGCTTTTTCTGCTGTCCATATAATTTGATTTTATAAGAACCTTTAATTTATAAAACTTTTACTGGTATATTTGCACTGCATTTATAAACGGTACACGTGAACGATACACTAAATAAAATAATTAAATAAGCCATTAAAACATTTCGCTTAATTGATACCATTTTATTCATTCGATTTTAAATTCTAAGTGGAATAAAAAACTATTGGTTTAAGGGGTTTTTTTTCAGAAAATATTTTTTAGAAATTGATTAAAACACATAGAGAAAAACATACGGTACCTTATTAATTTTAAAATTAAATATTTATGACAATGTAGGCGTGAAATATGGAGTTATTTTCAGCTTTCGGTAGTCTCAGTAGGTAGTTTAAAAATTTTATTTGCAAAAACTGCGAAATTTCGACGTAAATAATATTTTTTAGATACGCAAAATATTTTGTGAAAAATATAAAAAGTATTTTTTCAAAGAGTCCTTTATTCACAGTTGGTTTTCAAATTGAACGATTTATTGTTGCTTATTAATGTACAACAATAATAAGAAAAATGTAAATAAAAAACTATTTTGTGTTGATTTATAAACGAAAAATACGTTTTTGTCGAAACTATAGCCATATAGTACATTTACAGGATCACCATATTTATTTTTATAACTTTTAAATCATTTGAAAGACGGTAACCTCACGAAAAAAATAAATTCATTGAAATTTCAAATGATAATAAATTTAAAATGATAAGCGTTCGTTCAAATATCAGTTCTGATGCATAGTTATGTATACATATATACATACATTATATACACATAATACAATAAGAAATAATATAACAAAAAAAAAAAAATGATATAAAAAAAGGTTTCTGTAAAAAACTTATAACAGAAATACCAGTAAAGGTTATATATTTCTTAAAATCATAATATACTTATATAAACATAAAATATTTAACAATAATAAAGTTTACTAGTTTTAATAATTTAAAGTTTAAAGTTGAAATAAGTGGAGTTTGGGGTACACAACAGTAGCGAAGTAATTTTATCTTCAGTAATATATTAGTATCAGTTTATTACGTTTCTTGTAAACATTTAAAATAATTATGTATACTAGTTACCATATTAACAGCGTAGGAATTAGACGGACAAGTTATTGTTTGATCTATATTAGATATCTCACTTCAAAAAAATATTTCATCAAAATCGAAAGCTCATTTATCCATTTACAAATCAGTATTTGGATTAATTTTACAATATTATGTCATAACGATTGAATAATATAATAATTCTTATTAAATAATGTATGTCTTAAATAATGTAATATTTCAATTTGAAATGTTAAAAATAAAATGTAGGTTTGCTATAAACCATTAAGCTCATGTATTGTTAAATTTAAAATGTATCAACGATATGGATTAGTCAATTTAGATTAATCTAACCAAAATATCAAAGTTTAAATTTTTTCAAATTAAAATACATTTTTTTTTTTTAATTAATTATTAATTATGTAGTAAAATTTTCAGGTTTGTGAAATTAATGTTTTTTTTTATAAAAATAACACCATAAATGAAATACAGTAGTGGATTCATAAATGATTTCATTATTATTTGTGTTTAAAATTTTCATGGAATCTATTTAGAAGTGAGTAATAAATAAAATCGAATTCATAATATTACGTTGTTTTTAAATCTCCATACTTGGCTTCATATGAAAACACGGTTTCAAACCTGATACTTGTGTTATCAGAATTAATTTCTCTATTTGTCGTGAACTCTAACATTAAAGGCTAGAGGCGAACTCCATAAGATTGTATCAAACAAGCATTTAATATATGAATTATCCGTCGAACAAACGATGCCAAAAGTCGTTTGTGTGCCAATGAAAGAGCTTGTAGCGATTCAATCAAAGGAATGCTTACTTATTATTATACACACTAACAAATAGTTTATTAGATATATATTAAACATATATTTGTACAAAAGTGGGGCGGGCGGATTTCTGCATCCAATATAATGGTACAATACTTGTTATTAATTATATTCAACCGGGATGGGGGAAAGCGGAACGAGCCAACAAGCGATCCCTGTATAGGCAGTATAGAGGTTAGTAATAGTTTTACAAGGAAGTAATAACGAAGAAAAAATAAAAATAAAATCGTATTTATAAACTCGAAACATGCACGCACCACTATATTTAAAATTTATTAAAGTATAAAGCACAATATTCCAATAACCGCGGAGGTCATCTTACAAACATTGTATGACTTAGGTTACAGTCGATTTAAATTTGATTCGATATCAATGGTTATGATTATTTGTGACTTATCTAAAAAATAACACACCTTCAGTTATTCACGACCTACTGCTAACAAGCAATCGACTTATATGGGCCCCCCCGCGGTCGGTAAAGGATTAATTTTCCCAATGCAGCAGTAGCCTCGGGACAGATAAGAAAAGTTCATCGGGCCGCTTTATTGGATTTAATAATATTAAAGAATACAACTAACCATCATATCTACTTATAAATATATATATATATATATATAAATTAATTAAAATATCTGGTGTGTTATTTATGTATAAAGTCTTTTTTTCCTTTATATCATAATGTTAGAACGCGAACGATTGAGAACCCAAATAAATACGATTTTACAGTAAACTCGCGGCCGAAACAAAACTAATATTATTAAAATTTGGTCAGTATATTTGATTCGACAGTACAAACGGATCAGATTTTTCTAGCGATGATTCTGTACAAACTATATTGACATTTTTCTAATCATTACTATTGTTATTGACAAAATGTGATAATCGTTTTTGATAAATCCGCATAACTACCGCGAACCTTTTGCAGTGTGAATACGAAGGCTCGTGTTTTATATAACATTAAATATAATTTGATATCATTTTAGTATCGGAATTCAATGTAGTGCAAGTGTATTTTATTAATTAATTTAACTTTTACAGACTTACATACAAAATCGACCGAAAAGATAAAATTTTTCAAAATAATAATAATGAAGAAGTACAAAAAAGTAAAGACGAATATAATAACACTGTCAAAGAAGAACCAATTAAAAGCATAAACTCAGTGTAACAAAAACGAATTTATAACAAATAATATGGTAAAACATATTATTATTTATTTGCTATTAATGTTATTATATTTTATATAAATATTGTATGTACCTACCTGACATAAGTTTGTAAAATACTTTTAGTGAATTGTTATAATTTCTAATATATTTTGTATAATTTTGTTTCTACCAAAATGTTAAATACCAAATCATAAATAAATATATATAAGAACTCAATATAATGGGGTATTGTTTTGTTTAATTTATCATGTGTATAAAATAATTTTGATTTGAAATTGGAAAAAAAAATAGTCATTTTATCAATAAAAGTGAATATAAAATAGATTTAGTCGTGAAAGTTAAAAACAGTCGTGGTGATTTCCTGCATCTGCCTTCGTATGCGTAATGGTAGGTAAATTATTAATACACGTTATTTTTATTGTTTAACATTTAGAACGGTCACGGTTGGTGATATTTTAATCAATTTAGACCTATAAAAGCCTGTATAAATCATGTTTAGTCATACCTACTAATCAGCACCATAGACAGAACTATGGTCCGCTCGTGACTAAGCCTAATTATTGTATTAAATACTATGTAAGAATTACATGAAAGTCATGACATTATAAACTCACTGTTTGGTCGTTGGACGAAGAGAACGAAAACAATTAGCCATTAGCTCGGACTATCAACATTTATATTAAGGTTTTTAGTTCTGGAAAATGTGACAAGACCGTGCAATAGAAATGTGATCGCTAACTTTTACTATGTCCTCAAATACGGGTGGATTGTTGCCCTCCGAATCACGATGCCGAGCATGGTCCGGGAACACGAGAGCCAGACGACTGGTGATCTTTCGTCGTTCGTGGACTGTTAGTTAAAATACGTTCAAGTACTGATTGTCATCTTTCGTATTTATGCTTGTTTGCACGCTTCGCAGTCAAACCATCACTGGTTCGATTGTGTGACGTACTCGCGTCGTTTGCAATAAAAAAGAACACTTAACAGGGATGATTAATAAAATTATAACAAATGCTGGAATAAACGGGCCAAAAGCGCCACAGTAATATTAACAAAAAAAGTAATAATAAATATGATAAATTTAAAAATAATAAGATCACATATGCTTACAAACACGTTGTAATAATATAACAAGACAAATCATATAAAAATAAATATAATATTTTGAACAAATATAACGGAAGATACCTTGGACGGTCTGGCGTTCGAGTGGTTATGTCCACGCGACCGTGTTCACACGTGCGACGAACACCACAACCGGCAGAAGAATCGGTTAATCAACGGCTTCGGTCTCGATTTACAATAACTGGCTTCTCCGCGCACGATAACCGAAAAAAAATTTCGCGGACACGGGTCAGCTACGATTCGAACAGTCGTCGCACACACGAAGTTGTCCCCGGAGATAACGACTCCATCGTGCTATGCCGCAATCACAAAAACACACGGCCGGTGGCACGGGAAAAACGACGAATCGGACCTAACCAGTGATAATCGTACCGCGATAACGAGCCGATCGAAAATTCTCGAACATCACATGTCGACACCGTTATCGGATACTCCGGTTAACACGAAACGGGATAATTTGAGCGACGACGTGACACTTGCACGAACGATCTCATTTTCTAATTCGAATTATTATATAAATCGCGCAAAACAAATTTATCCGTAACGTCCAACGAACTTGTATAGGAACAGTGAAAACGAAATCTGTTTAAAATGTTTATGCGTCGTACAAGGAGGTTGTGATTTGTGTATAAGATTTAACCGAAAGTTTATGTTTAGTACGGACCGTGGTATACATTTAATTTTCTGGTTGTGCTGGGAATACGCGGTCAGTGCTCTTGGAAATTTCCACTTTACTACACGGTGTTTTAGGGATTTCCAGTTTCCCCTCTCCGCACTTTTAGGGATTTCCACTTTATCACTCGCCACTATGGGATTCCATCTTACCGCCCGCTAGACGGATAAAGGTGACATTCCAACACTTCGACCCAGTGGCGTAATAACGGGGGGGATATGGGGGATAGATCCCCCCCCATGAACTGTATTTATATATTGTCTTATACCTACAAAT